GCAGGCCCTGGCACAGGTTGCCCAGAGAAGCTGGGGCTGCCCCTGGATCCCTGGAAGTGTCCCAGGCCAGGTTGGAGGGGTTTGGAGCAGCCTGGGCTGGTGGAAGGTGTCCCTGCCCATGGCAGGGGGTGGGATGAGATGAGCTTTAAGGTTTCCTCAAACCCAAAGCACTCTGTGATTGTGTGATAGGATTCTATCAAATGCTGTCTCTGACAGTTAAGAATTCTCCTGATTTAAAATTGCAAAACTGCCTTTTTGGGGCAAGAGCTACAGAGCCTTGGAAAAAACAAAGGCAGAGCCTAAAGCTTAAACAAAACTAACACAACCTCTTGGTTAATGTGAGCAGAACATTTCCTTTGTTTCTAGTCAGCTATTCTAGTCCCTCCTTTCCACACCATGCTTCACTTGTAGATGGGAGCTGACACAGAAAATAAATCCTCCTGCTTTTTCAGAAGTATTAAATATATAGTTACCACCCAAATAACACCCTTTCTTATTGTTCCAGCACTACAAAAGCCGAGAACTCCTCTCTTTATTGTTGCAACTCTATTGCAACACTACACCAAACCTCCCTGAGCACACAGGACTGAGGGACAGGCGTCTCCTGCACCCTGCAGAAAAAGCTAGGATTTTTCTCGAATTGGTTTTGTCCAAAAATACCCTTTTGGTGAGAATGAAAATCCCTCAACTTCCACTTCAGGAAAAGCACACTGTTCAGGGACACTGGTTTGGGTTTGGCTGTGTTGTGTTTCTTCCACTGAGGTCTGAACACCAAACTGAGAGGAGCTCAGCTGGTCAGAGCCTGGTGTGAATAATGCCAGAGTTGTGGATTCAATCCTTGTATGGGCCATTCACCGAAGAGCTGAAGATCCTTGTGGGTCCTTTCCAACTCAGAATATTCTGTGAAAATCAAGTGAACAGGTAATAAAGCAGAGGTGAGGTTCCCTTCCTGGGCTCTGCTGTGCAGTGGGAGGAAATCCTTGTCCCAGCGAGTGGTGGCACCGCAGCAGACACATCTCCTGGTGCAAGGAAAGCTGTTTCCAAAGGGATTTGGAGCAGAGATTTTGTGCCTAAGATTCCCAAGGAGCAGCAGGGCGGCAGCAGGACACTGGTGGGGCAGGAGGCTCCCCGTCCCAACCCTGCAGGTGCCGAGCAGTGGCCGGGAGCGCTCCCGGCTGTGCCCTGGCAGCCCGGCCCCGCTGGCTCTGAGCCCGAGCGCTGCCCCTGCTGATGATGGGTGTGCCTTGCGCAATCGAACCGCTCTCGGCATAAAAGGCCCCTGTGGGGAGCGGTGCGAGCGGCAGCACCATGGCACAGGGCAAGGACACGGCGCTGCTCGCCTGCATCGTCACCATCGGGGTCGCGGCGCTGCTGGCCACAGGTAAATCCAGAGGGGTTAGTGGAGAGGAGCGCGGCAGACTTGTTTGTGCAAAGAAACTCTGCGTTTCTTCATTGCATCTGCAACAGTTGGGAACAATTCACCAGTCCCAACTCAGCTTTCAGATCCGTTCTTCTTGGATTGCTGCTCTCATTTCACGGCTCTTCATTTCTCACTTGTGGGGAGAAGTTCTGTGTAGGGAATGGCAGATGATTTCTCACACCACAGGGTGTATTTTCCTCTGCCTTTTTGCTTGCCCTGAGCATTGAAAGCAGCGTGTCCTTTCTCTGCAGCACTGGGGATAAACACGCCCGAGGGAACTGGGGATGTTTAGATCAAGTAGCAGCTCTTCAGTGGATCGAGGAAAATACCACGAGCACACCCGGAGCTGCCTGCCCTGGGGAACCCCGGGCACCCGACCCTGCTGCACAGAAACGGAGCTGGGATAGCAAACAGTTCATTTCTTTTCCTGTTCTGTTTCCAGTCATTTGTCTTAGTTGCCTTTTTTGCAAATAGCAAAATCCAGATCTTGTCTGCTGAGGCAGAGCAGCTTCTGTACCCCATCTGAAACTTGGTACTGAGAACTTTCACACCCATTTGAAAGGGAATCTTGCTTAAATGGTAACAGTATTTGTACATGCCAGACTATTTGTAGAAGCTTTTTCTTTTGGCTCTGTAGACTGTCTAGGGTCTGGAATATATTTAGTCTGGTTTTTTTAGTGACAGCAATCTATTGTGCTTTTCTCTAACAACCCTGATCAAAGAGATTAAGATCGGTGTGCAATCACTAATGGGAGTGGTAAGACAATCCATAGGATATACCTGGGGGAAATTGTACACA